GGGGGTACATGAAGCTAAGAAGGTAGCAACTGCTGCCATGTATCTTCTGGGTGATGCTAAACTCTGGTGGCAGGTGAAATACAAAGCCATCAGAGCCGGTGAAGATACTCTCGAGACATGGGCAGAACTGAAGACAACCATATGCCTACAATTATTCCCCGAAAATGTTGAGTACAATGCATAGAGAAAGCTATGGGAGCTCCGCAAGACCAAATCAGTGCGAGATTACGTGCGAGAATTCTCCTCGCTCATGCTGAACATACGAGACGTAGGGGACAAAGACAAACTCTTCACATTCCTAGAAGGGTTGAAAACTTATGCCCGTATGGAGCTGCAAAGACAAAGGGTAGACACTTTACCCAAGGCGATTCAAGCAGCGGAGCGCCTTGGGGACTATCAAGTGGAAGCTCAGAAGGATAGTCCTCAACTACCTGTCCGAGGGGGATAGCCTAGCACTGGTGGCCCTAGCAGAAGTGGAGGAGACTAGAGTGTAACCAAATGTAAGGCTCCCTACTCATGTAGTAATAGGGTTGAATCTAACAACAACAACGAGAGAGTAAACCCCCTTCAAGATGTCATCATTGCGGCGGGCCACACTGGAATAATGAATGCCCATATGCACAGGTGAACGCCCATCAAAATGTTGATGATAGGACAGATGATGACACAGATGACGCTGACAAGACCGAACCAGTAGGTGCCTTCAATGCAATTGTTGGCTCTATTTCTGAGGCCTGAGCGGGAACCAGTAATGGTATTCGTAAGAAGAATGACCTGGGCCCAATCACCAAGAAAGGGAAGAAAAATGCGGATGAGAGGACTCATCTTAAACAAGAGAAGACCCTAATGTCCGTCGAGATGAAGGTAAATGGCAAGCCCATTCGGGCGATGATAGACACGGGCGCTACCCACAATTACCTAGCCTCGACTCAGGTGGAGCGCCTTGGTCTAGTTGTAGGAAAGGGCATAGGTCGTGTCAAGGCTATCAACTTACTGCCTCAACTAGTGAGGGGAATAGCCAAAAATGTACCAGTGAAGCTTGGGCCTTACGAAGGAAAATTTCAACCTATGCGTGGTGATCATAGATGACTTCGAGTTGATAGTTGAGTTGGAATTCCTGAGGCAAACCAGCACCATGCCCGTACCGGATGCCGACACTCTACTGATGATGGGAGCCGACATGCTACTGATGATGGGAGTAAACAGGGCCAAACCCTGCATTATCCCATGCATGCCCATAAAGATAGCCGCAGAGAACATCTCGGCCTTGCAGTTGAAGAAGGGAGTCAAAAGACATGAACCTATGTTCCTGGCTACCCTCTGTATTGAAGATATAGAACGTTTCTCAGGTCCCATCCCTGCACACGTAAAAGAGATGCTACTGGAGTTTGAAGACGTCATGCCACATGACATGCCAAATCGATTCTCGCCTAAGCGCACTATGGACCATGAGATTGAGTTAGTGTTGGGCGAGAAGCCACCCGCCCGGCCGCCTTACAGAATGTCACAACCCGAGCTCGCTGAGCTTCAGAGATAGTTGGTGAAAATGCTAGACACGAGAATCATTGTGCCCTCCAAGTCCTCTTATGGGTCCCCTATGCTATTCCAAAAGAAACAAGATGGCACCCTACGACTCTGTATGGATTATCAGACCCTAAATAAAATCACCGTGAATAACTTGTATATTGTACCGCTCATTGCTGACTTGTTCGATAGATTGGGTGGTGCTAATATGTTCACCAAAATATACCTGAAGACAAGTTACTGGCAAGTCCGAATTGCAGAGGGTGATGAACACAAGACGACCTGTGTTACAAGATATGGGTCGTACAAATTCCTGGTCATGCCATTCAGATTGACGAATGCTCTAGGCACATTTTGCACATTGATGAACCAAGTATTCTGAGAGTACATTGACGAGTTCGTAGTGGTCTACTTGGCCGAGATTGTGATACATATCAAAACATTGGAGGAACTCCTTGAGCACCTGCGGAAGGTCCTAGCCCGACTGCGAGAGCACGAACTATATATGAAGTTGTCCAAGTGCACATTCTCCCAAAAGCAGATTGACTTCCTCAGACATGTCATTGAGGAAAGGCGGATAAATATGGACCAATAGAAGATTCAGGCTGTCACAGATTGGCCTCCACCTAAGGATATCCACTCCTTGAGGGCTTTCCTTGGCCTATGCAACTTTTATCGGTGATTTGTGAAGAATTACTCTCTCATTGCATTGTCGTTGACAGAACTCCTAAAGAAAGTCACGCATTGGGATTGGATCCCAAGCATGTGGAGGCCTTCAACGCATTGAAAACAGCTATGTCTAGTAGCCCTATCTTGGCCTTTCCTGATTTACCCAAGCCATTCGAAGTACAAACGGATGCCTCTGACTATGCTCTAGGTGGAGTCTTGTCACAAGAGGGGCATCCAGTTGTGTACGAGAGCCAGAATGACACTATACCGCTCACGCAAAAAAATTATTGGTTGTCGTCCATTGTTTACGCCTTTGAAGGCACTGTTTGTTGGGAACCTCGTTCGTGGTCTAGACAGACAACACAATGATTAGCCATTTCATGAGCCAACAAAAGTTGAATGGCTATCAGGCCAGGTGGTAGGAACTCTTAGCGGAATTTTACTTCAACTTAGAGTTCCGAAGTGGGAAGACAAACCAGGTTGCTGATGCGCTCAGTCGGAGGGCCGACCTAGCATCAGTGTGCCTACTCACCACCCTAAAGAGGAGCGAGGTAGCAACCACCATAAAATACCAGATACAGGATCTACTCATCAAGGATCTTGTTGCACAATATTTGGTTGATCTGGTAGGACAGGGCAAGACTCGCTAGTTCTACATGGAAGATGGATTCCTGAAAGTGAAAGGGAACCGACTTTATGTTCCTAAAAGAGGAGATCTGCACAGGACTCTTCTGATGGAATGCCATGATACTTTATGGGCTGGTCATCCTGATGAAGAACGCACCATGGCATTACTTCGTTGTGTATATTATTGGCCTCAAATGGCTAATGACGTTGCTCAGTATGTGAAGACTTATCTAGTATGCCAGAAGGCAAGTCGGACCGCTTGACACAAGCGGGAATCTTGGAACCACCTGTCCCGAAGAGACCTTGGGAAAGTTTTTTCCCTTTATTTCATCACTGGATTTCCCAAGGTTGGAGATTTCACAACTATCTTGGTTGTGATGGATCGGTTTTTCAAGTATGCTACATTTATAGCAGCCCTACAATATATATCAACAGAAGATACAACTCGACTCTTCTTCTCTCATGTCGTCAAATATTGGGGCATACCGAAAGACATCATTAGTAATCGCAACTCACGCTTCACTAGCAATTTTTGGACCCAACTCTTTAAGTGTCTCAAGTCATAAGTGAGTCACAACTCAAGTTTCCATCAGCAATCTGATGGCCAAACAGGGCAGTTCAATAGTATGCTGGAGGAATATCTCCGCTACTTTGTAACCAAATCGCAGAAGAACTGGGTGAAGCTTCTGGATGCTACTCAACTGTGTTTCAATTCATAAAAAGATCTAGTACAAACAAAAGCGCTTTTGAAATTGTTATCGGACAACAACCACTACTCCCACACACTGTGAATGCACCAAACATGTCAAAATCTCCTCGAGCTGCTAGCTTCTCAAAACAATGGAAGCGAAATTTGGAGAAAGTGCGGAGCTATCTTGTCAAATCCTAAAAGCAGATGAATAAGCATGCTGATCAAAATCATCGATTTGTTGAATACCAAGTAGGAGATAGAGTGATGGTCAAAATCCCAAAGCGATACTTGTGTGCAGGGGTCCATGACCCTCGCCTATTGCAAAAATACATTGGACCCTTGTCCATTGAAATACGCACTGGGAAAGTTACATACCAGGTGGATACCCCAGCCTGGTGGAAAATCTATTCCGTCTTCCATGTCAGTCTTTTGAAACCTTTTTGGGAAGACATGGAAGATCCTTCACGGAGACAACTCACAAAACCTAGTATTCGAGGCCCCAATTCAACTGGGAAAAAACGTGTTGAAGCTATTCTCGATGATCGAGTGATTAACGCCTCAAGGAATCGAGTGATTAACACCTCAAGGAAAGATCACCAAGAGTTTTAGGTGAAATGGCAGGACTGTGATGTAGATGAGAATACTTGGGAGAGAGGAGCAAACCTCAAAGCCTACAAGAGCCTAATTGATTATTATCTTGCAAGTAAGGCGTCGAGGATGTCGCCAACTCAGGTGGGGGAGAATGTCATGGGAGGCTTTACAGTCATGCCCCATGACCCCTTGAACGCACCCCATGGCGTCCTAGCAAGCCCCCCAACGCCTAGCGCCATGGACGGCCCCGTGGTCATGGCTGAGCTAAGTGACAAGCGCACATGTGCCTCTGTCGCCCCACCGATAGCCCTCGCCAGCGCCCAGCCGCAAGAAGATGCCAACAGTGCTGTGCGCGCAAACAACGCCGCCTTGCGCAGGCCATAATGCCAAAGTCAATGTTGCTGACAACTGACCTGTTTCTACCTTGTAGAAAACTAAGTCTTTTTCATTGTAAATATAGAGTAGTTTTATTTCATGTACTTCCCTTATGTTCCTCTATCTTAGTTAGGTCAAGTCCTGTAACTTTGGTTTATTTTTTTAAGCATTATTAGGGGGATCAAGCAATCAAACTTTCTAGCAAGCAAACAATTCTTGTACTGGTGTCTCTCCTCGTCGACACCGTATTGCCTTTCTGTCATAACTTTCATTAATGCAATCTAGCTTTTTTTCATTCTCAATTCTCTTTTATGTTCTCTCAATTGCTCTTGACATTGATTTTTCCGTAGGGCAATAAAAATCTAGTCTAGCGTACGGAGAGGAACTCAATTAGCGGATAGTAACTACACGGACATCAGTTGCTAAACCTTATGTCACCCTTCCAAGAAATGTCGGGAAGGAGTCGTTTAACAGTAAAAATGTACACTGTTTCAGAAAAGAATCTAATCTTTAGTACATGAATGTCCAAACGCTAAGATCCTTATCAGAAAGTCAAAATGTCAAATCCCTTTCACACAACAATGAAAGTGAACCATGACAATCCTAATCTCTTGTCAATTTACATGATAAAAGATAATGACATGAGTTGAGACAAGCGTAATCAGCGATATATTTATTGGGTCCCCCACATTGGGTCTTTTAAAGTTGGAAAAAATGAGAGAACATTATCAAAAATCAGACAATGACAAAGCGGCCTGTGATTGAGTGATAGATTGATCGACGACGGAACGAAGAACGAAACTTTACGACAACTTTTTCGTAAACATTCACTTGCATCACATCATCTTCGACCAACCTTCACCCGAGAAGCCCAAAAGATTATTCAATCACTCTGAGATTTGTTAAATGAAACAATATATAGATGTAGCGAAACGTCTAACATCCAATTTGCCAAGTGATGCCTAAATTGTCAAATGATAAAAGAACTTTTTATTTCTGTCCTCCCCTCGATCCGTTAACTACTTTATCTTAGGGTATACCCTTTTGTTGTACCTGATTTTTTAGCTAAGTTTTAAGGAGCACACCACAACACTAAAGCCATATGCTTTTGGATTGCAAGAGACTTGTGCTTGTTTATTTCAACTCCTAAAATTTATATTGCATTAAGCAACAAAACTTTTGTGATACACCGCGTATTTATCATAAAGTTATTTAGCTGTCTTTAGGAGAGGTAATATTAGTTGGTTTCTAACAGAAGAACTTAGGAAATAATCGAGGAAGGCTGCGAGAAACATACTGAAAAAGTGAATTGTTTTAACGGAAAAGGGCCAAATATGTCCCAGTACTATCAGAAAAGATTTAAATATATCTCTTGTTATACTTTGAGTTCAAATATATTCCTGTCATTATACTATTAGTTCAAATATACCCATTTCTATTAAGTTTGTCCAAAGTGGACATCCAAACTTACGTGGCACTGACATTTGATGGGGTAGATGCTACATGGCTTGCTACTTCAGTGCTCCTAATCCATTTTACCCCTCCCTTCTATTTTATTTCCACCACTAAAATTTATTTTCCCTCCACCACTATTGCCACCATTATCCCTTCCATGAAAAGTATTTTATTTCAAATTTTAATCATTTATATATGGATTAGGGTTACTGAGGTAGCATTCTATGTGGCATCCACCTCGTCAAATATCAGTGCCACCTAAGATTGGATGTCTATCTTGGACAAACTTTATATAATTCGTTTCGATCGATCGATGGATCGATCAATTTTTTATTTTGTCCTATTTTTCAATAGCAAACAGTACTATTTTTCAAGAAAGTAATCGAAATTCATCGGAAGTAAGTGACGCCAATTCGCAAAAATATTTTGAATTTAAGAGATTAGGTAAACGGCTATTTGAGTTAAATCTTCAAAATATCTCGTATTACAGAATTTCTAACGGCCAGCTCTTCTGTTTTAAAAGGCAGAATTGAGACTCGCTCGGGGCTCGCCCCGGGGCGGAGCGCTCGTAAAACGCCCCTGGGCTTATGTGTGAGGCTTAGTTCCGTGAGACTTACGCCTCGGTCGTTGGGGCTTACGCCCCGGACACGCCTAACGCCCAGCGTACTGGGCTCGCCTAATAAACGTTATGCAATTGTGTGTCACTAATCTTGTAAATCTTAAAATTTTCTTAATAAATCGTTGGCTATTCAAAATTACTTTTTTCTTAATCATAAATCATTAAGTTGGGAGTATTTTATGTCATAATTAAAATAAAAATTATTGCACGTTATCCACTAAGACTGCTATGATAGTAAATTTTAAATAAATCTTTCCTTTAAAAAGTATTTATTTATTAACTTTTGTTATGTCTTTATTATAATAGTCCATAATTTTTTTATAATTATTTTCCTACATATTATTTTTTCATGTTTACGAGATACAATACTTATTAATTTAATAGCTCAGTATTAACTATTTACAAATAATTAGTTATCATGGTATTGTATGGTGAATTATGTGTCACTTTTTTAACTTATTGAAACTTAAAAATAAATGATGCTAGAGAATCATATTTAAATTATGAATTATGTTTTTATATAATTTCTCTTTCAAATAGAAAACATATTAAATAAAAGGAGTGTTTAAAAAAATAACAAATTATAATACTCTTTAAAGATTTATTACTCGTTAAGAGATACATATAAGATTTCGTATTGAATACATTACTTTTGATGTTTGAGTTGTAACGATGTTGCAGCTAATTTTCATATTATGATATATGTCATACTTTTCGTATTATTTATAGTTGAATTATAATTTATAAATATTTTAAATAAATTATTTATTATAATTTTATAATTTTAATATAAATTTTTATAATTACTTTTTATTTTATACTAAATTAAATTTTTTAAAATTAATAAAATTTAAAGATCCATAGGACTTACGCCCCATATCTAAGGCTTACTCCTCTCCTCGCCTCATGCCCCACCTTTTAAAACATTGGCGAGCTCTCGTAAAATGACTTATCAAGATAAGTATGTCGTTGATTACTCTAATTTCTGACGGTCAACCGTCAAAAAACAGAGAAAGAGAAACAATAATAAGGCTAGCGCTGAATAAGGGCAGGATCCCTTGCATGTCGAACACGTGTCCATACAGATCCCTATGAACCGAAGCCACTCCCTCAAACCTCAGCCTTGAGCATTCATCACCCTTTCTTGAACTGTATTTTCTTAGAAGAAGTGACTTAAATTTCTGGAACTTATCTAATTAAAAATTATAAAAATATGGACATGACCAAAATCTGAATTATTTGTAAGAAAAACATAGGGAACGAGAGTGGTCTATCTTTAAACATGGAAAAGAAGCATCTTTCTTCCATTGCCAATGACGTCCTACAGAGATGTTCTTTGTTAGTTTCCTCTCCCTTTCTCTTTGATGCATTTTTTTCCTTTTATTGAACGGCTAAGGTAATTGTAATTTATAAGGATTAAAGGCGTATTATTTAGGATTTAAGTTCCAACTTTTAATGTTTTTACTATTGAATTTATTATATTTTTTAAATTATGAGTTCATATCTATTTTCAAGTTCATATTATTACTAACAAAAATGTCCACTGATAATTCTAGTTGAAACAAGATGAGTAAATGACCGAGAATTTATGTGTTACGAAACAAAAGTAGATTGTTAATTGAATAATGAATTGTAGTTTTTTTTTCAATGGAGGAATTAAGTAGGCTTAAACCAAAATAGAATCTTGGTCTATGAATATTTATTGAACCGAACTTGAGAGTTTTTAGAATTTTGAATATATACTGTGATTGATAAGGATTTGACAATTGGCAAAGCTAAGTATCTTGAGTTCAAGTCTTATCAGTCACTTTTACTTTGTTGCATTTATAGGTTTCTTTTTTCTTCTGTGGGGATAATGTTGAGGTTGTTTATAATAATTATTTCGAGAAATTGTTGATATTTGTCGTCAACACTCTTAACTAATTTCGAAATACATAAATTTATGTAAAACCATATTTCACTTTTTAATGAAGTTCTTTAATCTCGGCTTATTAACCACCGGAAACCTAAACAATGAGGTTCTTGTCCGCCATGATGCTTGGCTTTAGAACTGTGTAATTCTTTAGGGCAGGGGCAGAGGGCGACGGGTTTGGCCGAACTCAGTAGCTTTGGTCCAAACCATGTATTTGCATTAAGAAATTTATTACTTAAACATGTACAAATTATTAATATAGAACTCGGTAATTTAAAGTTTAGAATTCTCGAATCCATAAGCATCAAATCCTGGATCCGCCTCTACTACAGGGTACGTTGCCACTTTAGGTTGTACGACTGGTTGCCTTTTGTTTTTGTGGAATTTTCAGCTGGCATAATTACTATTTAGACCAGATTTCTCACGAGTAAAGTTAAGCCTATGTTGACTCTAGTGCCTTATTATTGTGCAATGCATAATGTGTTTTTGTACATGCAACTAGTATTGGAGTTTTTCCGGTTGTAGCATATCAGATTGTCTGATTAGATTTTCTATTATACACGCAATATTCACAAATTGTGAAAAGTAACCTCACGGACTTTATTTTAAAAATTAATGATAGATATTTCTTCTCAGGAGGTTGGACACCTCAGTGGATGAACTAGTGCACGAATTTGAGGCCGGATGGGAGCCTAAGATGGAGGGTTATTCAAGGAAGTTAGTGGAGTTTTGCTGCTCTAAGGCCCTTACCGACATATGCAGTAAGTTGGAGGAGACGTTAGTCGATGGTTCTTTTAGCCGGATCATGTTTGATATGATGCTAGCATGGGAAACGCCTAGTTCAGCTGATGAAGAGAGGCATACAGTTAGTTTCCTTGCTTGATTTTTTTATCCAATTGCTCTGTTAACTAACCTTGATTTTTGTCGATTGTTTTTTAGTTCACTCACTGACTTAAGCTTGTTTGAAATACTTTGTTGTGATTGAGGTCATGATCGGAAGGTCGTCTCTTTATAATAATCTTGTATATATAGTTTTAAACTTGTTAGCGGAAACGTAAAAGAAAGAACACAAGATTTAACGTGGTTCGGATCAAAATAATCATACGTCCAACAGAGAAAAGTTGTCTTTTTAATATTAACAAAGGAAGGGGAGAGTTCCCAATTATACTTAAGAGAATTTCTCTCTTAACTCTCTACTCACTACAATGTGTTGTATTATTTTTGGGATGGTTTCTACAAATGAAGGAGTGCATCTATTTATAGAGGTAAAGACCTCCTCTTGATGTTATTGGTGACATCAAACTACCTCCTCTTGATGTCATGGGTGACATCAAAGGAAAAAGCTTCCTCCTAGCATCCATACCAACTCTTTCCACCAACTCTTCCAATTGACATGCCATTGTTGACTAAACATAAACCAACACCTTCAATCTCCACCTTGGTTTGCGTTTCGAGCGTGTGTGTGAACAACTCTGACCAAAACTTCTAAGCTTACTGGGCAACCCCGTTGTAAGAAACAAGAAGAATCAAACCATTGTTGAACATACCACCTCCACCTAACAACTGTTCTCTTCGGAGTTGCATCAGTTGATGCACACCCCCCCAAGTCCTTGCAGTGTGCAAACTTAGCGAG